TGGGAACTGTCATAAATGTCTCTATAAGTGCTCACCACCAAGGAGTTAATTTAGAGGTTACTTGATTTTCCTTTTCCCATCAATACCAATAATGTACATGAACCTGTGAAGTCATCTATGAATAAACAAAGTAAAACAAACCCACAATGGATAGTGAATCCAACTAGGCACACTGAAATATCTTAAAATCTCTCTCAGTATGATAACCTTACCTAATCCTCTGGATGCAAGATCTGTTGCAAAGAGAACAACATTTTCTTTCTGACAGAAAATGTCATATACAGCCAGCCTTCTTAACTGGTTCATACCTCCATGCAAGCACAACACAGGCACTCCTGCATTAAGTTTACAATATATATCAAACATGTATTTTGCCTGAAAGAAAAAAAGAGGAAGCATCAGTTTCTGATTACATGTGAAACAAAATTATATATATTTTTTATACATAAACTTTATCATAAATTTATTACAAATAAGTTAGTGCTGAGCCTGGGGTGAGGGGGTGTATATGTAATTTTAAAGAACAATAAAGTCCCTCAAATATTAAAATCAAGTAACTAAACAAGTGAAAAAAGATAAACAATAAACTACTTACCTGTTTACATGTTGACATAAAGACAAGAATTTTATTTTTCCTATGATGTCTGATAAATGACCACAGGAAAGTAAATTTTTCTTCACATTTACAAACAATATAACTTTCTACAAGACCTCTTGGTGTCGCTGTTTTAGAAAATTCATGAACAGAGCAAAACACTGGATTTTTGCATCCTGCCCGAATCAGATCCTTGACGTCCCTGTGAACATTCAAAAGGATTTCAATAAGTAATGGTTATAACTTAAAAAAAAAACATCAGTCTGTGCCATACTGACCATGTCTGTGAAACAGTATTTTCTTTTGGTCTTAACATGGTAATGAAAACAGCAGATATAACAGAGAAAAGTTCTGCTTTTCTCTGACAGCACAATGAGGTTTGTAACTGACCTAGTTTGTGTTGCAGAAAAGAGCATTGTCTGTCTGTCCTCCGGCAACTCTTCAAGAATGCAATTCATTGTGTCAGCAAACCCCATGGACAAGCATTGATCTGCTTCATCAAGGACAAGCATCTGTGTATAAGATTTTAAAATTAAGTTTCCCAGAAGTAACATACTGTAGGTATTACTGAAATCATTCCTATCTAGCTCAAAAATCATGATTTTTATCCATATTTTATGAAATCATATGAGAAAAGGGTACTTCAGAAAGAATTACGTAAGTTTAAGGAGCCATCATTGAAAAAAGATTGGGAACTACTGTTGTGAATCACTGACCTGAACATATTCACAGCTGAAATCTGGGTTTTCTAACATGTGGTGGAGGAGGCGACCTGGTGTGCAAATCAGGATGTTGCATCCACTGATCAGGTTCCACTCATACTTCAGGTCCTTTCCACCTATTAAAGTAACAAGTTAAAAGTAGTCTGTCATTAACTTAAATATTTTTGTATTAGTGTATCGTATAAAACTGAATGAAACAGACAAAAGAAAAAAGAAAAGGAAAGAAAGAATGAAAAAAAGAACTGTAAACCTAAGTAATGCATGTATTTTTCTCTTTGAAAAATAGATTCTTACCTATAATAAGACCAGCTGAGAAGTCATGACTTTTTCCAACATTCTTTAAGACTTCAAATATTTGATAGGCCAGTTCTCGTGTTGGGGTGATGATCAATGCGCCCAAACCATCTACACTTGACCATTTCTTTGCATATAAATTTTCTAAAAGCTGCAAAATCAATTATGCATTACACTCACCAACAGAAACAATATCATCATTATCAGTATCATTATCATCTTCACTACATTTTCTGTCAAGTCATTGAACAACATAGAAAACAAAAAAGTAATAAGAAGTTGATGAAGTCAATTACTTACAGGTATTATAAAGGCTAATGTTTTTCCTGACCCTGTCTTGGCTGCTCCTACCACGTCCATGCTACGGAGAGAATATACTAGAGTCTGTCGCTGAACCTTCGTTGGTACTGTGAAGCCATTATGCTTGAGGCCTATGAGAGTGTATTTGCTCAGGGGAAACTTGGCAAAACTGTCAATTTCATCGGGGTTAACCTCTGCCATCTGAGGAAAAAGTTGGAAGGACATATCTAATATAGATATAATTTTCACTTGTAATCTGAAGTAAATTATAAGAGAGTTTTTCACTTATAACCTCAGTAAATTATAAGAGAATTTTTCACTTATAACCTCAGTAAATTACAAGACAGGTTTTATACTTAAAACTTAAGATTTTGTCAGATAGAAGCTTTTAATTTATAACAAGTATTTTTGTATTTTAATCAGTTGAAAAAAAAATAAAAAATAAACTTACTTCTAATTTCTTCTGCTCCAGCTCATTGATCTCTGATTCTTCCCTTAAAACTCTTGTCATGCTCTTTTCATCCTTTTCTTCCCTCTTCTTGTGGAACTTCTTCTTCCTTCTCTTGTCCATTGTGATTCCTTGATATATGGCTGAATACTGAAAATATTCAGATTTTTTTTTTCTCAGTACCAAGTAGATAACAGCTATTTATTCTAATAGAGTACAGCAGTGTATCAACTCCATGTTATGAACAAATAGGATTCAGAAAAGTAACTATTAACTATATTAGTAAATGCTACAAAATAGTGATAAAAAGGAAAGGTGAGATGAAATGTCATGCGATAACAAATGCTTAAGTAGCTGATGCAAGTTAAATTCTGCATAAGTTTTGAGATCCCTGTGAATCACATATCCAAAGAAAGGATCTTAATTTCTTTTGTAAAAATTCCAGAAATATTGGCATCAAAAATGAAAACTGGTATTGGACCTTGAATGAAATATTTTTGGCCTAACATTCATGATTTTCTAACAAATCCAGCAATGATTCCTATTGCAAATAAAATATAGCAAATATACAAACACTGATAGGTGGAGAGGGTATGGTGGATAACAAGGAAATTCTGGGATAAAATTAACCATTTGCAAACCCACACTACAAGACTTACCAGCAGCAAAACAATAAGGTAAGATTTTATACACAAATGATGATGAAATCTGTGACCTGCCAAGGCCTATGCCCCATTCTGCAAGAATATACTGACTTTTAGAGGATTTATGTGGCCAGTACATAAATCCTGAGTGAATGGGTTAATAATATCTGTTTAAATAGGACCACATCAAGCAACACCAGGGCCAGTCATGTGTATTATGTAGCAACAAAAGCCACAAATATTCAACAAGATAGAGTTTGGACTGGTTCCTAACATGATAAAATGTCACAGAGCTCATAACAGAATAATATCAATTTTCAATTGTGCACATCAATATCTACAGTCTAAAGAATCAACAGATTGCCTACTTCTGAAACTCCATTTAGTCTATAACTTATTTGTCACAGATTGCAAATGAGGAAGATATTTAATATTACGAGACACAAACATCTGCTTTATTTCACTCAAGGTCTATATGCAACCCACAGTGATGCAGTTGCCACTAGTCAATTGTGAAATGTTGTCTCTACAATTTATAAAGCTCTTACTTCCCTGGCAATTTATTCTCACAGTAGGAAAAAGTCCTTGCTCTATAATGGCAAGATATATGTAGTGGATGTTTCTTTGGTAATTTTATAAAACCAGTCTACATCTTAAAATCAGTCACTTTAATTTTGGTATCTATGCATTCCTTATGATGTCTAGTGTACATCTATAGTGGTTTTAGTCAGTGCTAGATAACAACAGTGATGATATAAGACCCAATAATAGGGAGAGAATGAAGTATCTTCGGGAAAATTTTTATTAAATTAATTTTCATAATATAGCTTTATTCCATTTGTTACAATGGATATTTTTGGTGTGACATGCTGTCTGTTTCATTTTGCTTCTAAAATACCCTGTGTAAGGAATGTCCAGGGTTACCATCCATTGGCAGTGAGGGATTTGAACGCAAGTCAATAAGATTGCTAGACGAGACCACTACCACTGCACCACACAGAAAACAGAACGATTGAAAGATATTCATGTATTTTTGATAGGTTTCTATACCCCCTAAAAATCCCATTATAGGGGACTACCAATCCCATCCTCCACCTTGATTACAAAATCTCCACTACATTTGACTGGCAAGATAGAGACTGGAAACATCTCCCTTATTTTGTAACTTGCAGCAACAATATCACAAGTGAAAAGTGTCAGAATTTGTTTATCTGCTGATTCCATGTACTGTTTACCAAAACTTGACCAAATATAAATGGTGGAAGTCTGTTTCTCTTTGCCAATGAGTAACCTAGAGGCCACAGTATACCTAGACGTAGAACTCAAAATTTTCAATAACATTTGGCCTTGATAGATTAATGGGTGCCTCCCCATGCCTGGTATGTTGTTAGCTCATGGCCAGGCTCCCAAGGCATCATCAGAGACACAAGAATTCAAGCTGAAGTGACAAGATATCACCTAGTATTATGAAAATTGATTAAAGTATACAAAAGGACCACACTGGCAGGGGAGGAACAGTGATCATATGGGGTCCTGGAAAGGAGCCCTCAGTTAGGGAAATACAGCAATCAGTAGTTACCAGCAGTTACCAAGTAAGGAAGGCTCATTTTGATGATAGATTGTACATTTAGGATGGGGATAATGTTTTTTGTTCATTTAAGCTGGGGACTTCTGTAAACTTTAATTGTTTAATTTTTGCCACGACTGAGAGGTTGTAACATGACTTGAATGGGTTAACCCATTGCCGACGGGCATGCCATGCCATGCCCACTGTGAGATTACTTGTTGGATTGTTTTTACACATAGATGGCTACACTTGTACTAAATCACCAATGAGCCAGTTACGAGTACCGCCTGTCTCACACGTTCACCCTTTACTTTGATTTACAAAATATTTTATGTTATCTTATTTTGCTGTTACTAATGTTAAAAAACATTATAAAAGTTATAATGTTTATAATAAAGATAACACCATCGATATTCATGGCACTAGTAAA